TGACACCACTCGTTTTACGTTACCACATAAACTGGTGGTGCCCGGTGATTAATTACAAACAAAACACAAAACACTGAAGCGCCAATCCAAACCACCAACGGCTTAGCTGACCCAAACAGTTGGTCTATGCCTGGACCCTCCCACTACACATAAAACGGGGCCCGAAACAAACAGGGCTACTACACGTGTGTTTGTCGTTTTTCCGAGTGGTTCGAGGGTCCGGGCAGCTATCCTTTTGCGGAACTTGATGGCCCCAGATTATGAAACAGCCGAGTCAACCCGGATTCTCTATTTTGCAGAACAACCAAAAAGGACACCTTGAATGATGTGTTCCGGCTGAGTTCCTGCTTTTTTTTCAGCATCCCCTTGTGACTTCTTGAATAAACACAACGGGCGTTTGGCATCTTGTTCAAGGGAAAGAATGGGGAAACACCAAAGAATTCCCAACCATGGCATGAGCATAGTTGGCTATAATGGATCTTTCCAACCTTGGTATGGTAGCAAAACACTGTTTTTTGCAGCCACTGCAACGCATGAACAGAAGGAACAATTAAAAGCAACCTAAACACATGACACATGACATGCCAACAGCAGTGAAGGGATGTTACATCGCGCCACGAGCAAGAACACAGAACAATTCTCCTCTTAGCGGTGAAGGTCTTTCGAGTTTGTCGGGAAAAGGTGAATTTCTAGACACCAGCGCAGCTTACGCCGGTGGAGGTTGTCAGCTATGGCAACCAAACAGCAGCGGTTGGATTGGACCGAACTGCATGCTTGTCCCTAAAATTGCTCCACTCAAAACCCTCCCGTCGTCGTTTCACCGCGGCCCCGGCAGGGCTCGTACTCATCGACACGTGAGGCGTTGGATGGTACCACACGCACGCCTCAGATCGGCTCAGATCGGCGCCGGAAACCCGGAAGGCGCTGGTAGAGGTGGCTCCTGGACCCCAACTGGGCGATTTCCTTTTGATACCGTTGATGGACAGAATCCATTTCGCACCTCTCGAACAAACCCTGAAGTCAAATGATTCCCGTGTAAATACCAGCAAACAATGGTTTCTCATGGTTTCAATATGGTGCAGGATTTCGTCCATCCACAGTGGGTAAGACTTTTGATATCGGTCTGCCCTTGTTTGGAGCTGGTACCTCGTGTTTTGTAGCTGTTAAAGGGACGCCAAAAGGAACATGTTTTCCTTCGGGGGGGGTTGTGGGGATATTACTAGTGGGTCATAATTTGAAAACTGTTGTTGAGCCCTATCAAGCCAATATAAGCCAATCATGTGAGCCCCAAATATAGGAGAGCTTGCCCAAATATACACGCACACACAGATTCCTAGGGTGACTCAACTTGGTGTGCAAGTGCAGAACTGAGGCTTGTGTTTTACATCTCTCACTTTCCTAAGACATCTTTCTGCAATCTGCTAACCTTTCCGCCAAGATTCAGTGGCGTGAACCGTTGCTTCCGCGAAAGCGTTCACGTCAAAATTGCTTCCGCGGGCAAGCCCACGGGCATGCTTTGGTTACTTTTGCTCGGCCACTGTGTGCTGCTGCTGCAACTTGCGTTCTTTAGCACAAGAACATTCCACGGAGCTTCCGCGAAGCAAACGCTTCTGACGACCAGGATTGGCCAGAACGAACATCCACTGAGCGGCAACTTGGACTTTGAGGTAAGTTGGAACAATGGGTTGCCCGGAAAACCACTCTCTTCAGTATTTCCCATCCGCATGAGAAATCAAAGTTGACATTGCCAGCTGACGAGACTCACGCTTCGAGAAACAGACACAAGCCGCTGGCACATCAGACATAGGTCCATGTGTCAAAAAACACCTGGGACTTTTACATGGACAGCTTCCGCGACATAAATGCGTGCGTCAAAAAAAAAACAAAAAACAAGCTGGGACCCCCAGATGGACAGAAGCCCCCCCCAGATACCGTTTTTTTGTGCTCGGCATCTTGAGGCGGGCGCAGGCGGGGTAGCTGCCAGCGAGGATGGGATCCTCTTCTTCGCAGAGGCCCCAGTCTGCCCTCTGGCCTCGGATCGATCCGGGACCGGTTGCGCCGCCGTTCTACCGGATGGCGAGCCACCAATATATGGCTTGTCTTTCATGACCACCATTTTGGGGTAGACAAACAGACACACCAATTAGAGTCTCCTTCTGACCCTTTAAGAATGGTTGGTCATGACCCTAAAAATGGGGTCATGGGCCTATGTTCAAAGGCTTGTGGAGACTCTAGGGGTGCCTTCCAGTTCCATTCTTTCCAGGGATCCGAATCTTTCTAGAAAACCTCGGGGCAAATAGCTGCTTTTCTTTGAAGAACGATGGTTGAAAAGAATGGGGAATCAACCCCTAGAGAGTTACCACCGAGACCCGCGGATCGATCCGGGGGTGTGGGTCCCAAAAAACCACCTGGACCATCAAACTATACCCTTAAAAAAGGGTAAGAATCCGATTTGTTGGGAGGCCGTAGCCCATTTTCAAAGGGTAGCAGAAGGTTCAGGAACAAATTTATATATACAATGCCCTACCCTTTGGGCTTCCTTGTGGGAAAATGAACAAAGCAATTCAACATTCAGCTTTCGCCCAAAGAACATTTTTCGTTGATTTCCAATCATCCTGTGGATGGACAAAATCTTGGGCGGAATCCTGAAGAAACACACAAATGGTTCTTCCTTCTTGCGCAGTGTGTGACACCAAAGCCACAGTGAGAAACGTGAAGTCCGGCACCTCATAGCTAGATCCCTCTTGGTTTCTCTTCAAATGCCCCTCCCGCATGCGTTCCCAAATCCCTGGCCACGGAAAAGAAGTCCCCCTTTCTTGGGTACTTGTTGCATTTGTGTTTGTAGTTTGTATTCAAGGGAGTCCCCCTGAAAAAAATGGAGTCTCCATGACCCTTCCAAAATGAGTCATCGCCCCGAAAGGGGTCATGACATTTTGAAGGGTCATGGAGGCTCCAGGTATATACAGTATTCGACCATCATAACAATGAACCCAAAAAACACCCAAAAACAAAAACACAAAAACACCAAAAACAAACCAAAAAAACACAGGAAGCCCGCCACACGCTGCGCAGACCTTTTTTTTTCCGGGGTCCCGGCACAGTGGCTGCTCCACCTCGCACCAGAGCCTGGCACGGCTTCCCGGCGGGAATTTAACTAGGCCCTCCAGTAGAGAGGTTCGACCCCAAACAATGGGGTCATTACCCAAAATTCAGGGTTCATGGACCCATTTTTTAAGGGTCAGATTTTTTAAGGGTCAGAAGGAGAGGTCAGAGTAAGGGTGCCAACTTATTTTCTGTAGTCTATTTTAGTAGGGGAACCCTCCCAACCAAAAAAGGGGTGAGAAAGGGCACTACTGGGGGACCTGGTTTAAGCAACACATCGACCGCGACTCCCCCCCGCCGTTGTCAAAACCCGGGTTAGCCCCCAGTGAACATCCCAATCCCCACCATTTGTTTCCTAAAATGGGTGGTGCACCTATCCCAAAATGGTAGTATTGGTTTTGACCCACAGCCATTTCAGGGCCGAAGACGATCTTCCATTCAACGGGACCAGCTCTCTGGTGGGTTCTTTGGCAACGTGGACAGGACGGTAAGTTTATTTGAAAATACAACCCGAGGTTATCCAAATTCAATGGAAGCCTGTGAATTCGAAAGGGCAACTAAGGTACGTCTTCGACATGTTCCTTTTGGGGGTGTTAGGTCGGTTCCCTTGATTACGATTACCTATAGGTAAATGGAAGTAGGGAAATGCGCAGGATCTTGGCGGGACTCGGATCAAAAGCCCAGTCGGTATGTAGTGTCACATAGTGATGGCGAGAGTCTGCGGACTTGTTTGCACTTGGGTGTGTCTTTCTAAGTACCGGTTTGGGGGTTGGATTTTGCTCGGGGAAGTAAACCACCCATGTTGGATTCCCTACTTGCATGTTTGATTCGCTAAGCTAGTAAGTTGTAATGTTAAAGGTTATAACCCGCTTATGTAAGTCCCCTGTGTGGGGTTAACAACTGGATCTTGGTGAACAGCCCCCAGTGGCTAACCACAGACACTATCTTGACATTTCCATCCCAGTATCTATATCGGCAACTGGAAGCACAAAGGCCCACTGAAGTCCACCCAACTCCTTTCCGCTGAAACCTGACTGAAGCAAAGGAAACCACTTGACTTGGCGAATCGAACATCCAAGTAGTTATATAAACACCCCCAACATGAGCGTTTTGATGTCATGCCGCTAGTGAGAAGCTACAAGGGACAAAGGATCCGTTGAAACACGAAAATGATGAGTGGACACCCCCTGACATTGATCTGGACTTGCCTCAAACTCGAGGTCAGTCATTTCGGGCCACGGGTGTTACGGAAAATTGCGAGCAACACCGCCGTTTTGTTTGAGGATATACCTTTAAACACCGACACGCCGAATGGACTTGTGACAAATGCTCGGGGCCCTGGTGACCCTGAAACATTGCGCCATATGAGGCTACCACAAACTTGCCGGTGCTCAGGGAATGTGGGAATGAACCCAGGCATTCCCTTAAAGGACACCACAAGGGAGGGCGTACAGGGGTCATGCCCTTGAGCACCAATAAGCCAAAATGGAGCATTCTGCTTCAAAGAAACTCCCGTGGCCCACCAGGGTGGACCCTCAAACTACCCCTTAAGAAGGGAAGTAACCCCATATTGTTGAGCAACAACCCACTTGTTTGGGTTGTTTGAGGGTGCATTTCAATGCACATAAGCCCTCGCAAAGAATCCCAATTCATCGAACACCCGAGAGTCCGCTCTGAACATCCCCCAAAAGCGGCTCATGCCTTTGACCCGCGCTGGAGCTGCGGCAATCGCCTGCGACCTACTTGCATTTCGGGGCACAGGGCCCTTCTCCCGCCGCTTGGTCCGAGAAGAGTCGCCCAAGCAGAAAGCTTTCCCGGCCCCAAACGTCAAGCTCTCCTAGGTCCTCCAGTAGAGAGGTGAGAGTAAGGGCATGCGGCTTGATGCTCACCGAACGGACTCAGATGATGATCTCCTGGTGGTCCGCTTCAAAGTCCACCCAGCTGAAGTTGAAGAGGGTGGGATGCCCCAAGTGCGCCCCAGAGGCCCACTCCTAGGAATCCCAGAAACCCGAACCGTTACTCGGTTGCGCAAGAATTGCAGGGCATATACTTTACTTACAGGCATGCCACATTTTTGTTGGTTCTGGATGTGCCTCTACATTGGGGCACCGAAATGTGCTTGCTATCAAGTCGTCCACCAACAAGGACTCTGCCGCGGTGAGCGGATCGATCAGGGCGAACCCGCACCTCTGAATCCATGAAAGAGAAAGCAAAAAACAGGGGGTATGCCAAAAGAAACAAACACATATGCCTGGACCCTCAATCTACCCTTAAACAAAACGCACATCGCCCCGTGGTTTTGGGGCAAATAAACCATCATCTGGTAATGTTTTGCGGCAAGAACAAATCATCAGCCCCATGTTTTGGTGCAAAGAGTGACCCGAAGTCTGCTTGGATCGAGAAAACAAATGCTTGGTTTTTTCCCCAGGGTGGTTGTTTGTGTACGCAAAAAATGACGCCTGAACCCACAAACTACCAATTGAAAACAACATGCCCAAAAACATGAGTGATTCCCTGCTGTTTTAACCCGGTGGATCCCCAGTTTCCCTTATAGCAGGGAATCAGCTATTCTCCAATTGGCTTTGAAGGGCATACAAAAGCAGGGAATTGGATGCACTCTGCTTCTGGGTAGTTGCTTCTATTCTTGCCAGGGGAGAGAAGGGAAATGGCTCGCAAACCCCATAAATCCCCACAAATTTCCCAGGGGTAGATCCCAGTTTTTTGTCATGGAAACCCTATATCATCCCTGCTTTTCCAAAACAGGTATATCCATAGGTGTCCTTTTAGGGCAAATAAACGGCCCTGGTAGATTAAAACACCAGGTAAACCAGGAATCGCCATCGATTCTTCCACCAAAACAACCAAAAAGGACACCTATGGGTATATCATTTTCCCCGTTTTTTTCAGGGTAGTTCCAGGCTTCCCCGGCCAAACCTCCGCCCACCCCGACTTTTCTCTGCTCCCAAGGCGCCCCTGTCCAGGCGAAGGCCGGCTGGTCCTCCGCCGTGGGCCCGCTGATGGCGCTGAAGCGGAGCCGCAGGCAGTCCGCGGCCGCGCAGACCTTGGCGTCCGTGTTCCCGAAGTCCTGGGCTTCATTCGAGGCGAGAAAAATGGAAAGGGCCGAAATCCATGTCCTGAAAAATTCGATGCGAGAAAAGTGGAAAGGGCCGAAATCCATGAGCCGGTGAGGTCCCAGTGAAACATCCACCAATCCAACCACAAATTTTCGGTAACCTAAAAATGGGTGGTGAATTCACCAATCCCCCAAAATGGGATCCGATCCAAAACGGTTTCGACAACCACCACCAAATGGCAGTACAAAAACACCTTGTTCGGGATTTCCAAATTCCCCAAGCCAGCAGTCCAAATCAATGGGTTGCCTGAACACAGACTTGGTGGCTGCAAGGATCCCCCTGCAAAAAGGTGTCGGTTTTTTTTTTTTGGGGGGGGGGTTAGTGGAAAACCCAACTTGATTTCCCAACAAGTCAAGGTCTGAAGATCCAACCCAACAGCGGTACAAAAGCCTCGTTTGCATAGGTGTTGTTTTTTGGGAAAATAGATGGCCCTGGTAGTTGATCGAAGCTCCAGGCAAACCAGGAATCGCCCTCGATTTTTCGACCAAATCAACCAAAAAGGACACCTATGCTCGTTTGTTGTTGCACCACCCCCAGTAAGAATCAACAGAACAAAGAAACTTTGAAACTCGACAACTGAACAACATGCCAAGAACAGTGAAGATGGTGTGTCTCCTTGTTCTGTGGGTACCATGCCAGAGGTTGCTTTTCGGGTAATACAAGAGGACAACCGCCAGTGTTGGAGTCTGCCACACCCGTTTCGGATCTGCAAGTCCCATGAAGAAGCAGAACACATTTGTGGGTGGGTCAATAGAGGTCCGTCCCTTTGGCACCCCCAAAGAGACCCAACCCTGCAGCTATGTTCGTGAAATGTACAAGTTCCATTCTGATGTTGGGTCCGTTTCCAGCTGGTTGCACATACATTCAGACCCGTTCATCCCAAATGTCGCTGCATCAAGGCGGGCGTGTTTTGGGTATGCTACGGGAGGATTCCTCCTGGCCTACAGACTCACATAAGGCACATGAAATCCAAATCCAAAATCAGATGAGGTTTGCTTAGCTCAACTCAGATGCCCAGTGGCCATGGGGAAAAAAGGGCCTCCTGTGTTAAACCCGTGGCGCCATGTTTGGCTTATTCAGAGCCACACACCCGCTGGAGCCTATCGACCGCCCCCGTCAAATCGACCCGCGCCTTGCGCTCGGAGGCCCAGGGGTGCAGGTCGTAGCGCGCCGCGATGGCGTTCTCCGGCGCGTTGGGCTCCGTAGGGCCCCCGTAGCCGTGGGCGGACAGGGGGTCGTGCTGCCAGTCGTTGTAGCGCAACAAGCGCTGCACGCGGGCCATGTCCTCAAGAACAAAACAAGACCTGGAAATTATGCCCACGAAGTCCTAGGCGTTCTGGTTCTCGAGGCGTTTTCCAAAACAGGGTTGCCGAGAATTACTAGGAGTTCCTTGACGTTTGAATCTCTAGGGAGCCAACAATTCGGGATTTTGACGACCACAAAATTGGAGTTTAGTTGTTTGTTCCCGGTGGGTTCCTTTAAACCAAGCCTAACAAAGGTGACCTCAAATAAACAACAACATGTGTGTGTGTGTTTTCAGGGTACCCTTTTGGGGCTTGATGTAAAGGGAAACCAACGGTGAACCATCACAAGCAAAATCCTGTTGTATAAACAGAACAAATATGCAGGCATATTGCTTGTGTCCAAAAAGGAAACCTTAAACATAGGAGGTGTTTCTCTAACTTGCCCTTAACTCAGCCAACACATGTTGACATTAGCAAAGGCACACATATTTTGTCATGCATGACAGCTAATATCAATAGATCCGGGCAACTCGCAATCCTCAAATGGAATTAAGGGATTCCCCACAAAAGAAACCTTCTTAGCCTCGAAAATTGGCCGTATTTGACCTACCAGCCTGCACCGTGCATCGGGTGATTGTTGTCACAAGGGTATGGGACTGAGAGATGGTTGCATCCAAGCCCGCCACTTCAGGGGAGAAATCGGTGTCGGCATGATCAACTCCAATCGGAGTCATCGCGGGATGGCAACGGCGGGAGGGATCATGCCGTGAGTCTGTACACTGGTCGCTCCATCCATCCATCCATCCATCCATCCATCCATCCATCCATCCATCCATCCATCCATCCATCCATCCATCCATCCATCCATCCATCCATCCATCCATCCAGGAACCTTCTTACTGGATGAGTCCACTTAAAATGTACCCAAAGTGGGCTCATTTTGACTTGCCCAAGTAGATGCAAAGGGTGTCTTTGCATTGGGAAATTCTGCTAGCAAGTGTCTGCATATCTCCAGTGGGCCTGAATGTGAGAATGCTCCTAAATGACAGGGATCCCTATACATGGAATGTGATGCTCCTTTCCATGCCAACCAGCGCGGCCCTCATTCTAGGGGCTAGCAACAATCTTCAGGGCATCACCGAGCAAACAGGCTAGTTCCACATGTACTCCAAGAGCAAGGTAGCATCCCGTGCTTCGTACGGCTCACTTGTTTCAGTCGGTGACAGAAGCGACATGGGAGTTGGGAGAAAAATAACCTAGTTTAGAGCTCACCCATCAAAGTCAACATGCTGGCCTGAGATCATGATGCTGTTTGCGGCTGATGTGTCTTATCACAAGCATGAGATCTTGTCAGGTATGTTATGTTTGTATCATCCCTAACGATCTTGAGACCTGAACAAGGGCCTTTTCCATGCAGATCCCTTGCGCCCTATGGAGCCTCCTTGCTGCCGGCGGAATTCACACGAGCCCATGGTTCGCTTTCCGAGCTTCGGTGGCATTGCGAACGTCGCGGGCGAAGATCTTCGCACGGGGGTTGCGCGTGTAGGAATACCTCGGATCTCAGAGGAATGCAGAGAAACCCCGCTCGGGTGCTTGGCCAACTTACGAGTCAATATTCAGGGAGCATACCAAGTTGTTAAAACCAACCCTCAGAATGCTTGGATTCCGGCTTGCCCAAAATGGCATGGCAGGCCTCTCGCATTGGACACAATTCGGCCCCTCCTTTTGAGGACACCCTGTTTGGTTTTTGTTTTCCGTTGCGGAGGCAACCGTTGAAGGAAGGTTGCGGAGGGCCGTGGACGGATCCTTTCGCACGCAAGGAACTTGCCAGCTCGGCCATATGAGTCGCTTGCTCAAATTCCGGCATATAAATGGGTTGACCCAGAAGCATGCAAGGAAATACAAAGGCGGCCGCCACTATTTATGGCTGGGATTGTCCCTGACTAACCTGCATCTACCCGGGTTTTGATGGTTGCTCATATGTGTAACTGGGGCGATTTCTGGCTGCAAGCTGCCTTTTTTCTTTTTCTTTTTTCGCCGGCAGAGCGGATGTGTAGACAGATGATTCAGTGTTTAGCCTGTCAGCAATACTGCGCAGCGGCACAGCGGGAATAATATATGAAAGCACACTAAGCACACAACATGCCCCAAACAGTTCTAAGCGACGGCCACGGCGGTGACGTCAAGATCCCCAGCGTTGAGGACACACCCAGCCGTTCAGGAACCACCTGAAATCGCACTCTTGGCATTCACATTATTTTGCTAGAATCTTCTTGCAGCCCTTTAAGGCGGCAATCTTCAACCTTTTTGGAGATATGGGCACGACCAAAGTCAAAGCACTGCAATCTGCAAAGGCTTGACCCCCAATCAGGGTCACTGAGTCGGGGATGATCAAGCTTCTTAACCGGCTGCAAAAAGCAAAGGCACAAGCCTCGATCCGCGTCACTGAGTCAGGGAGGGTCACACTGGCCAAGGATCTGCAGCCTGCAAAGGCGCTAGTTCCAAAGTGCGTCACGGAGTCCGGGATGGTCACACTAGCCAAGGAGCTGCATCCTGCAAAGGTACTACTGCCAATCTGGGTCACTGAGTGGGAGATGGTCACAGTAGCCAAGGAGCTGCAGGTTTCAAAGGCACCATTCCCCATCCGGGTCACGGATTCCGGGATGGTCACACGTGCCAAAGTGTTGCATTGCCTAAATGCCTCTTCATCAATTTCAGTGGCACCGCTTGAGATATTTCAACTACAAATGCCGACTCCAAGTCAAGTTCATCGCCAAATTGGTCAAACTCGCCTTTGTGGGAGCAGGTCACTGCGTTTGGTTTCAATACTACGGTCACGTCTGATTCTGGCGAAAGGCATGCATCTGCAGCCGTCTCGTCGTTTGCCAGCAATCTGCTCCCCATGAGAATGTCGACCCGAGTTGTTTCACGTGTGAGTTCATCCTCCCAAAGCTGGTACTCCTTGATGCGCTCCTTGAGTTCCCGACCAGTGATGCTTGGCATGACTTCAAGAACCGTTACGTCGCCATTCAGCTGCTGAAATGAAACCCTCATCGCATGGCTGCTCCAAAAACCACTATAGCTCGAAGATCGCTTGACGGCCTTGAGATTCCACTCTGTACTTAGTCCGAAACTTTGAGCCCACATGGGCACTGCGTGGATGTTCCAGTCGCCAAGTTAGTGAATGGTTAGCCATAGGTATAACCCCCATATGACAGGGTTAATCCCATGGCCACTTGGGGGGGGGGACTTTGAAGTGGGTTAAAACCTTGGTTACCAACTAACTTGACCGAACATCCAAGTAGTAATGAAGTGGCCATAAACCCAGGTAACCCTGTTGTTGAAATGGGACAGTATACAAATGTGGCTAACCGCGCACTGTCGGTCGAACATCTAAGCGTGCATAGCCCCATTTCTTCCAATTGCATCTCGCGTTTCCTGTGGGCGATCACTACAGAAAGGCGACACGCTGACACAAGCTGTTGCAGGAATCAGCATTACCAGCGGAAGCCACGCGCTCGAGGTCTGTCAGCATGCGTTGGGTATGAAATCGCAAATGAGTCATAATCAAAACCTGGCATAAAAATGGTCGACCCAGAACCATGTAAAGAATCAAGAAGGCAGCCGCGGCTATTTATGGCCGGGATTATCCCTTACTACCCTCGAATTACCCGGAATTTGATTGTGGCTCAAATGGTGTTGCTTGTGTTTCCTACCGCGGTCTCCGCGTGTCTCCGGCTTGAAGAGGTTGGCTAGAGTGGCCGAACAGCACACAACCGCCATGCCAGTGGGGAAACCGTCTTAGATGGTCCGGGACGAGCCAAATAGTTACGTAACTTGTTTTTTTTTTTTTGCGGGTGTCCTCAGATCCCCTGCTAAGAGAACAACCTTTTGTGGATCAAACAAAAAACAAAAACACCAAACGACTAAAAGCAACTCCGAAACTGAAGCCAGCCATGCGGCAAAACTGATTGCGCTGCTTAAAAACACGTCACGTTTCAAAATACTAGTGATACTGGTGGACCTTTGCGGGGCTCTCACAACTGCTTTTGGGGATGGTGTCCCTTCATTTAGACGGCAAATACTAGGATGTCACTCCAATAAACCATCTCGACTCATGGATCCAGAATTCATCAATCATACTGGCTTCACTGGAGTGACATCTTCAAAGTTACCATCAAAATGACGGGAACCTATCCCCCCCAAAAACAATGAGAAGTTCACAAAACGTCCACGCTGCGCGACCCGGAGACATCTGGGAGGGTCAATGCCGACCGGGAAACCGATCCCCGACGTGCTCCGAAGACCCTGCGGGTCCAGCCTTTGACCAAGCCCGCCAATCCGGTTGCTCACTAAGGTTGACGTTGGAAGGGGAGCATTTTTTTTTGCAGTTAAGTGGGGATTTCCCACTAAACCACAATAAGCAAAAATGTAAAATGTTTCCCAACGACAACCATGACTAGGGGGGGGGCTGGGGGAAGAGACATGTCACGTGAGCCCAAGCTGCCAAGCTGCCATGCCACTTGTGCTTAGGCCCCCACATGGTTGTGGAACCTTGCCCTTCTGAAACAGCGGCCATCCCATGACTTTGTCACTTCAGAGTTGGAATCGGAAAATTGGAATTCCCAAACTCCCTATAGTGTTTACCCCATATATCAATTAACCCCAAATTAAGAGAAGGGTGCTTCTCCATGGTTTTAGTAGGGAATCAGACCTTCTTTGGTCTGATTCCCAAGGAACAATTCGCAACCCCCTATAAATAACTTGGTTGGTTGATTCATATGAGCGGTCATCTGGGGTCTCCCTGGGTTTTAGGGAAACCCTAATAACCTGGTTGGTTGAATCCTATGGGGTAACCTTAGAGATCTTCCCTCGAGCCTCGAACTCCCGAACCCCGCTCAGTTCGGCCGTGGGGCGCATCACCGAAGCGCTTCTCCATGTCATCTGCCCCCGAGATCACCCGAATCTCCGGGAAGAAGGGCGAGTTGTAGGAGACCCAAAAGCCCTGCGCCCGCCTCAGCGGTCAGCGAGCTGAACATGCGGCGTTTTGAGTCACCTGAACATGACCTATAGGAACATGCCTGCTGATTTTCTGCACAGGTATGTTTTTCTTTTCTCATTTAGGGACCAAGTGATTGTTCCACACAGGTATGTTGTTTTTCTCATTTGGGGACCCAAACTAGCTGGTGGACACCAGACATTTAGGTGGAGAGTCAGACAACCAGCAACCACTTGTGGTTGCTGGTTCCCTATTTAACATAGGTACCTCTCTGAACATGTCCCATGGTTCCAGCGTACAGCATTGGATATACCTTCAATCAAGAAGAAACCTGTACAGTTTGCGAGGTCGTTTCCTGCTCCCCGGAAACCCATCTGCGCGTCCTACTCTCTTCGTGGCCTTGAGGGATTGTAAATCCATCAGGCCCCCTGGTGCAGAAATGCTGTTTTTGACATACCTGGACCCTGAACTAGACCCATACACTTGGGTTACTGCCCCAAAAACTATGGGGTGGTCTCCCCTTTTTTATGGGCAGTTTGAGGGTCCAGGTTCAGGTAAACGAATTCACAAGGTGTGCCCTCTTATGGAGACATGTCAGCTGATGTGCTTTGTTTCGCCGAAGACCATAGGCCCTTTGATTAGTGATAGCGGAGTCAAAGGGTAAGTATGCCTACCTGTGGCCTAGGGTTGCTTTCATCAAGGTTGTCTAATCTCCTTATCGAGGGATTAATGACCATACCCAAGCAAAAGGGTGCTTGACAATGGCATAAGTACGGTCTACCCCACAAACGCCCAGTGGCCATGGCAAAAAACACACCCTTTTCTTGGGTAGCTGAATTCAACGGGACCCCCTCCCACAAACAAGGAACAAGCGAAAGGGGCAGCCCACAATTGTGGCCCGCAAACAAAACAAAAATATCAAGAGCATCACCCCTGCCAAGAACGTCTCGTCTGGACCCTCAAACTACCCCTAAAAACGGGAATTCGCCCCATACTTATTGGGCAACAACGGGCAAGTTGGGGGTCCAGGCACTTTCCATGACCCAAACTGGTGATGTAAAAACCCACCGTAGAGGAAGCATAGGTCCCCTGCTTGGACCTTGGCCGCCTCTCTAGCCATGGGCCCATGGATCGATCATAGGTGTGGGCAAGCTATTTGGCTCTGTCTTTTTTTTGGGGGGGGACCCCCACAAAGATACGGCTCTCCTTTCACCCCCCCCCCCCGAAAGAAAAAAACAAAAAACGGACACGGACCCATTGGTTTCCTTGTGTCTCTCAAGCCGAACCCCCAGTTTGCTAACTCGAAACATAGACATCGCCGCTCGGTGGAGGCCGCACCCGTTCGCCGGACAAGTTGAAACCGCTTCTCGTTCTTTTGCCGTCAGTTACGGCGGTGGTGTGTGTGTGTGTTTTTTTTTTTTTTTAGTGTGGCTGGTGTACTTGCAATATGGCAGGGGCATCCAGCGTACATATATATGTATATACACCTATGTAAAAAAAATAATATTATATATATACATATATATATATATATATAAACTCATATGTATATGTAAAAATACAGAAATACATTATATACATATATACTCCTATTGAACCTCCCTCCAAAGGAAGCTCACTCCATAACATGTGTGTCTTTCAAATTCGCGGCCCCCAAGAATGGTTGGTTTCCACTTTCACGTCAATCCCGGCCAAACAGGGTACCGAGCCTCCAAAAGAGACAAGCCACGACATGTGAGGAGCCTAAGCCGATCTAGCGAATCCGAGGCGCAGCACTTCGGTGAGATCCGACCACACGATGCTTCCAGGCATCTGCTCCGCCACCGTGAAGAAGCGATCCGGCAGGTCCTGCGGCTAGCGCGGCAGTCGACGTCTTCCATTTGAGGAGGTCTTTCGGAACAATTGCACAAATATGTCCAGTATAGTGATAGATTCCCTTCAAAACCAACAGAGGAACATAAACACATATTCTTACTCCCCACACAACAACTACACCACAAAACTCACAAAAGGTCCTGTGGATTTCTTGAAGGTCCAGCAGAATCCAACCTTCATTCCTGCATGTGAGGGTACCTGGAAGATCAATTTGCTCTTGAAGGGACCTTCTGCGAGGGAGTGATTTGAATAGGAGAAATGGGTCTCTAGGTCATTGATAGCTCGGTTTTGAACAAGTAAGTAGATGTTTCTAGTCTAAGCCACTTTGGTTTACCTCTGCCTCTGCTAAACCAAACAGAAAAAACTGCCAAGTTCGCGAGTTCTGTTCGGTCCATCAACCAAAAGGCAGACCACTGTCTCCTTGATGCAGCGGGTGTGCCTTTTTCTGGGCCGGAGGGGGGGGGGGGGGGCATCTTAAAAAAAGACACCTCAAAAAAAGACGCGCCGCCCATATTTCCCTCTTGCCGAAGTGTTGGAGGTTATAAAGCCCAGATTTCACGGGCAGGTGGGCCAAGCCCAACTAGAGCCTATTTTGTTCAGATTGAGGGTTCTGCGTTCCCTTTGGTTTCTTTCAATGACGACAGTGTCAAATCGGAGAGCCCACTTGGTTGGGTCCCATAAATCATTTATCCTCCCATGTCTGACCGCTTCAACCATTAATCATGTTGTCAACAGGTTCAGACCAGAACCTGATGCCGCGCAACCTCGACATAGCAACCGGTCCCATAGTTGATGCCGACCATGAAACCAAAAATACGCGGTTCAACCCTTGCAACAATGGGTTATTGCCCCCCAGCAACCGTCACTGCCCTTGTTTACGGGTGGTTTGAGGGTCCAGGCTGAGCCTTTGGAAAGTTGAACCAGGGGAAGAAGTGATTCAAAGTTGGTGGAACTCAGCAACTGCTTGTGGCGTCAAGCAAGGTACCAGACAGGCAGGCAGGCGGACATTTTCCATTCACCAATCGCAGGGAAATGTTTGAATTCTGCAAGGATCACTTGTTTACTTTGCCAACCTGAAGTGATGAGCACCCCAAACCAGGCGTGGTTCCCAAAATATATTTGCCTTCAAAGGAAAATGGTCTGCCAGGAACCTCTGTGCAGGTTCTATGTTGACATTTTGGGAGAGTCAAGGTTCCATCGCTCCAACTCGGGTGCCATCGAACGCTCTGCCTCGTTGGCCTTGAAGCGATGCATCTCGGCGATCATCCTGAGGCTCCGTTCTAGGGACACCACAGATCCCAGAAATGGCTTTGCCGGAAAGTCTCTGACTTTGGAGGAAAGGAAATGGGGCTCCTGGTTCTGCACACAAACAATTTTGCACCTGCTCCCGGACCCGAACCTGAAAGGATCACATGCACGACATGCAGGTTGTGCATCTCACCTCATTCACCGCTTTTGTCGGCCTGAATTCGCATCCGAGGCGCCACTGGTTATTGATGGTGCCCGAGTTGAAGGGCGAGAACCACTTCACCTCACTGAAATCACCCGAACAAAGAAACCGAAAACGGGAAATCGGTAGCACCTTCTGTCTTTCTGTCCAACAGCTAAAAAATGGGGCTTCCCCCCCCCCAAAAAAAGAGGTACTGGCCTTGTTTAAGGATTTTTGTAGGGTAGATTAAGGGTCCAGGTGTTTTGTTTCCAAAAGCTTGGGAAGGCACAGGATTCCGCTGGGAGCCAATCCTTGCAATATCCATTTACCGGAGACTCCTCTGGGAATCTTGGACTACCCTGGACAAGAAGCCTCGATTTGCCGGTTTCCGTGGTCGATTTTTGTTTGCGGCCGAGAATTGTAGTCCTGGACCCTCAAACTACCCTGAGCAAAGGGTAGTAACCCTATTTCTGTTGAGCAACAGCACACTTTTGTGGGTAGTTTGAGGGTCTCCAGGTACCAAAATGGCACCTTGGTAAATGGAGCCAGAGACTAAAACCTGCGTTTCCCCAGCTGTTTACTTCCCAGCCACAGCCAATACCAGGAACCCCGCGCAACCCGGTCGACTCCCCGCAACCCAAGTGGCCCAGCTGGCGCCGTCGGTGGCCTTGCGGTTGGCGATGACTGTGCGGGCCCAGGTGAAGAGGCTCTCCGGCTTGATCTTCTCCAACGAGGTCTTGTTGTACACCCTCAGCCGTGCGGTTTCAAGAGCATTGCCGGGACTACGCTCTGGCTGACTGGAGCAGTTGTTGCTGGGGGCCGGGGGTTATGAAAATAGACACATCCAACAGCACCCGGGTCCCAACCAATGCCTTTTTCCGTGTCCAATATCCCAAGTGTCCCAAAAGCCGGGTTGCGGCTCAGGGCTTGTATCTTTTTCACGTGACGCCGTTGTTGTTGTTTCATCGTTCTTGCTTTTTGTTTCGAATGTTTTCATGAATGTGTGTTATTTTTGACATTTGCCCGTGGTGGGAGTGGAGGTGGTGGTGGGGAGAGAGCTGCCACAGAAGAACTCAAAAGGGCCATGGACCCTCAATTGCCCATAAAAGGTGTTGTTGAAACCATAGGAACACAGGGAAGCTACCCTATTATTAGGGTAGTTCTTTCGGGTCCAGGTCCCTTTTCCCTTAAGCAAGAGGGTCTTAGATTCATACCCGCTGAAACATGAGGCCTATGCTCCAGGGAAGCACCTGGAAATCTGGCCATTTGGTAGATGAAAAATAGGTACCCGGTGCTTTTTAACGCCGCAAGTGGAGATGAGACTCCAGGTGGAATTTGGGCCCGTTCTTTTGGAGGGCATGCGCTTCTAGGAGGCTTTAACAGGACACCAAAGGGAAGACCACCACTTTGGAGGCGTCCCCTACAAACAGACGCGCCCCATTTGCGGAGAAACTGGGCACGTTGCCATCCAAGGCTTTGGACACAAAGGGGCCGAACGGCCGAACGGCCGAACGGCCGAACGGCCGAACGCCGTGGCTTGAGACCCGGAACCCCAAGTTGCTCTCCATGTTTGATCCTGAAATGCAGGCAAATCCTATTTGGGGCGCCTACCAACCTCTTGGGAGTGGGTCAAAAATAGAAACAAAAACAACATAAGTTGCCCAGGCAAATGGAAACAAGGACAAAAACCCTGCGGTCCGCTGATCCTGGAGTCTCCTTCTGACCCTTAAAGATGGGGTCACCCAAAAGAATGGGGTCCTGGACCCATTTTTAGTTCGGGTCAGGGAGAGTCTAGGATATTTTAGTTTTGGTAACCCCAACATAAGTTGCCCATGGAAGCAAGGACGCAAACCTGCGCCTCCAGAGGGGCCCTGAAATGGCAGACTTGGTTCCATCGGAGGCCTTCCGGGAGCTTCCGGCTGTGGGAGTGTACTCGGTGTTTGGCGCCCAAAGTGGGTGGGTCTCACCAGAAAAGAGTCTTCCTCACAAAAAAGCGGTGCACCCAAGGAAAGATCTTTAAAATCACCAAACAAGGGTACCCACCAAAAGAAAGATGCGGCCAATAAGGCAATTTGCACTGCTCATTGCTCTGTATCGCCAAACTAGGTGTACCCAGTGCTCCCGCAAAAGTAAAGGAGCGAGTTGGTGGTCTCCTGCACGGTCAAGCCGGAGCTCAGCACGTAGAAGTCGTCGCCACCTAGGAGGTCTGTCCTTATGCTCACCTGCCCAAAGGACCTGGAAGAAATGTTCACCTTTGGGGACGTTGAGTAAACATGGACCAAACAACCTTTGGGGACTTTGAATAGACATGGACCAAATTGGGAAAACCAAAAGATTGCCTGCCCCATTCTTTCCAGGGATCCAACTCTTTTCAGGAAACCATCCCAAAACCCAGCAGAAACGGATCCGATTTTTCCCTATGCTCATTTGAGTCACTTGCTCAAAATCCGGCATTAAAATGGGTTGACCCAGAACCATGCTTCAGGAAATACAAGGGCGGATATCCGCAGCTCTTTATGGCAAGGGGATTGTCCCTTACAAACCGAGTCATCTACCCGCAAGTGAGTATGGGAAAGGCGTGCCAACCACTGCAAAGTTGACAAGGCTCTATCGCCCAGCACAGAGGTTCATGTTCATGTCCTGGGGATACTCCTTTCCGGATGAGTGGGCTCCTGGTACCTTCAAGCTACCTTTAAAATGGGTAGTGACCCAAGTGTTGGGACAATAGCCCCTCTTTATCAGTTGGAGGGTCCAGGTACTTGCCTGTTGCTTACCCCTCTTCAACCATGTCAATGCTTCAAGTTGCCTACCACCAATGCCAGAGACGTTGACGCTGAGTGGCTGTAGAGGTTGCCAAAGTAGGCGGAGTGGGCAACCTGATCTGCGCCGCCCAGGGGCAAGTTGTACTCCTGGATAAAACCGAAAGGGGGGCGAATGTGTCAAAGTCTGCACTCACTCAAATAAAGTTCTGAAGTGGCATATTTTTGAACTGAACCCAAAGAGTCCTTGGCTCATTACGCATCGCCACATGTTTGAGTGGCCTTACGGAGCTCTTCAACAAACCGCTTGCATCTCTGAGTCAAAAGCTGCATTGCTCTGATTCTGAGCATGTTGTGTTAGATCATAAACCATTTCGAAACTGAATGGGGAAAAAGGCCAGGCTGTAGTACAACACCCTGGCAATCATGTGAGAGATTGAGATGAAGCAGTTAATTCTGGGCTGTCCTCAGAGTCCCTGCTAAACGTCCAACTTTTAGTGGCTTAGTGGAAATTATCCCTCCATTTGCTTAAGTCCCCTGGAAAAACAAATATTTGCAGTAGTGATCGATTCCCTTTAAAACCAACAGGGGAAAATAACAAGTATTCTGAACCAAATGGAAGTATCACTAAACCGACTGGAGACCCCCAAAACCTGTCAAGAAGCGGATGGCTTCGCAGGCGAACGCTCGCACGAACCATATGTTCAGCGCCATTGGAACTGAACTCCAAGGCCCAATGCAGAAAGTCCAAAACTTGCCTTTGGAGGGAAGGGAATGAACCTGGGGATCCCCTTTAAGGACCCTGCAAGATAACTCCCTCACATGATGGATTTTGATTTGGATTCAAATTTCTGGAGAAATCTTGATGGACAATCGACATGATTTGAAGGTTCTTGAGGTTAAATATGGGAAGCCACCCCGGAACAGCACACCAGCAAATTACGGAAAGCTGATTGTAGATTCATTGTTTAAGGCACCCTGCCTTTTTAAGGAATGGATGCATCGATTCGCGTGGATTTATTGCACAGCTTCGCTTCAGGGAATACAGAGTCAATTCAGACCCCGCGCTGTCGGACAGCGGCGGCTTGGGAGTTCCTGTGAGAAAAGATAATTCTCAAGGCCCTCAACAGAACTGTGCAAATGCAGGATCCACATTGTGCCCAACTTTTCCGGAAGCCAAGGGACAACCTTTTGGGGCCTTTTGGGGCCCGGTCCCCCTGTTCTGAGATTCCATGAAATGCATCGGCGTTAAGTGAAAACGACTCAAACTCAGTGTTTTGTTTGGTTTAGGGTGCCCTTGTTGAATGGTTCTCCGGAAACTAGATGTAACACCAACGCCATGGGGTCCTACCAAAAAAAAAGGTCCTTCAGCACCCGAAGCATCGAGGAGTAGCCGGTCCAGGTATTGTGCCCCATATAGAGGTCGCTGTTGTTGGGCGCTAGTTTCACAATGGCCTCAGACCAACCCGAAGCAACCTGAATGCGGCACGTAGACATGTGTATATATATAATATATATAATACATATGTATATATATATGTATATATATATATAAATAAAACGGGTGCGTCTTTTCTTGGGGCCGCCAAAATTGTGGCTCTCTCTTTTGGTTTCCCTTTAAACCACCAAAACATGGGCATGTTTGTATACAATATAATATATATATATATATATTATACATATTTCTACTTAAGACCGCTGGCACGTCTTGCTGCAAATGCGTCCCCGTGAAACAAGGAGACATCTCAGATTGCAGGATACACTCACATCGTTTCCAAAGCACCAAGGATGATTTGTCCCGTGCCAACCCACCAGCCACAAGATGTCATGGTCCGTGTCCTCAACTTGCTGTATGTTCATGTATGCCTTGCCTCACTTGCCCAGTTCGGACACAGAAAAAAAAGGCGAACCTTTTGGGGCCATGACTAAAACTTGGGCCAAAAAAAGGGAACCAAAAGGTCAAAAGATTTGGGCAATTGAGTTGCTCTTTGAGGAAAATTTGAGGTCATCACATGTTCAAACATGGCGGAATCCTGTATACAAGGATATGTCTGGTCATACACAATTTGTACAGAAACAAGTCACAAATTGAGCAAAGGTCTTGGGTCACTTTCGGTGAATGTTCCAGTTCTCAGTCTTCACCATACAAAGCCGCGAGAAACGGACGAAAGCAAACGCAGGAGTCACACAACAAACGAGTTCTATCCTTGCCTTTCCAACATATGAAATGCCCCTGTGATTCCAAGGACCAAATTGAAAATGGGGACACAAATCCCAAAGAAAGGCATCATGGCCACAGCCCGAGTTGGGTGCTTCTCAAAATAGGGTTCCGCTTTGGAGATTTAAGAGAAAACCCAAATGAAATCCAACACCTCAAGGGGTGCTTCTTGAGACACACCCATTTTTCTGGGCTGTCCTCAGACCCCTGCTTCCAGTTTGACTTTTAGTTGGTTAAATATGGAAACCCAACCACTAAACCAAGCAAAAACCTAAAAACCTAAGGAACCGGATGGCTGGTTGAAGCACCGAGTCTTGAAGACGTTAGGCGCTCATCCAAGCTGCTGAGCAGTGGGTGGTTTCCCGAGTGTACGCTGCCGCGCTGGCATAGGTCCACTCACTGGGGATGTTCTGGACGCTGCTCAAGTCCTGCGTGGGTTGAACTCCAAAGACCTGGGTACTACAAAAGACACACATACTACAACAAAAAATTGGAACCCCCCAAAAAGGCTCTCTTCCTTAGTCGCACTTTAAAAAATTAAATCCTCATGTCGTGTCTTGACTTACAGCAGCAAACCTATAGCCATTTCTCGACGTCTTGGACCAGCCTTCTGCACGTGTTTTCATGCAATCCCCGGATCCGGAGATAATAAGCTTTCGGGCTGCCATGGAGGACAAAGACTGGTCATAGCTCATAACTCAAACATGTGAGTAAGCCCTATCGAAAACATCGCAAATCAAAAACACAAGCGCCTTGTCATTACCCGTGCAGACATGGCAGCTCGCTAGGCGATTTGTGTTTACCACTAAATGGTCTTCCTAAAGTTTCAACTCCATAAACTCAGGAGTGAGTCAAGTTATGGGAATGGCGCAGGGTACCAACTGGGCTGGTCAAATGACTAATTTGGAGCGCACAATGAGGTTCCTACACCAGTGGGACTATGCCCACAAAAGGAGTTTCCCACAATTGAGGTATTGTTTCGACATATGTGGAGGGTGTGTATGTGTGTGTGTGTGTGTGTGTGTCGAACAAACAAAAGATGATCTGGCAAAGCCCCCCTTCGTCCACACTTTCAACACCAAGTTTGGGGGAATGTGTGGCTTGTTTGACCCCAACCTCCTATTTAGGCCGAGCCACAAGGTACAATGAGGGGTTGGACAATCAGCTCCCAGACTGACTCTGCGAACATGGGTTGCCATCACCGCTTTGTGGAAACCCCACTGTTGAAGCATCATGGAGACTCCATGATGATAAGCCACTATTTGGGTATCTTTTTCTGAGGGCACCCCTGCTTGGTTGGTTTTAATACCAACAGCAAAAATCTAAAAAATACGAGCCACCCTCAGTAAGGATACTTTGAGGATGCCGCTTCAATGGACGAAACAGTCAGCCGTCACGGGACAATGACCAGACCGACTGTAAAGCACAATGATTGGATGCGCACTCTGTGGTTGCCCCATGTTGTTCTACCAATTGTTCCTCTCTTACACAATACTCTTTTAGACTGTTGGTACTCTTTTGCTATCCTGCCGGGGTGAATTTTGCCAGATTCGCCGCATCCAACCTGTTTCATCTGTGTACTGGTCCTGCTCTGCTTGCAAGAAGAGGAACTCGGTGAGGCCGATACAGAGCTCCCCGCAAGATGCCGCATGACCGGCCACCAAGCCGTCCAGCTGCGCCCAAAGCACTGCGACCTCAGAAGGATTTGGGTATTTTTTTGTTTTCTGTTTTTTTCTCCGGTTTTCGTGGTGACTGGTCTTGCTTTCGGATTTGGGGCTTCTAAAGTCCTGGTTGTCCTGTTGGTTTATTTTGCCCCCCCCCAAAATGGTGCAACGGTTTTGCTGTTGGGCGTCTTGCTTCAGAAGACAAGGAGCGTCCAAATGGTGGTTGTCCCGTTGGCTTCCCGTTTTATTAATTTCCCAATTAAAACCACCAAACAAAAGGGTACTCTCAACCAAAGGACGCACCCATTTCGATTTGGGGGGGGTCTCTCGACTACATGTTTAAAGGGAAACTAAAGGGAAACACCATACTTGGGTGTTCGACCAAGTTAGTAAGTTGTTGGCAACCCAGGTGGTAACCCCCCTTATAAGTTCCCCTAATCGGGATCAACCTTGATAATTGGGGGGTTATTCCCCAATTGGCTAACTTGGCCTAACATCCAAGTCTGCAAGACAAACAACGTGCTTCCAGCATACCCGCCTTAAAAAGCTACGGGGGAATAAAACATATTCTTAAGCAAATGGAAGGTCTGAATCCTTGTTGGGGACCTTTGGTGGACATCACTTGGGTGAAACCCAAAAGACAACACCATTTCTTCTGGCCCTCAACCGGGTGGGTCTTTTTTGAGGGTACCGCGGTACCCCTTTTTACAGTAGTTTCAGAATAGAGGAACACTAAAAAGACAACCACCTTTGCTGTATCTTTTTTGGGGGGGGCGGGGGGGTGTTCTCTAAAACCGGACATACCCAAATAGTGTTTTTCTTCCAAGTGCGGCCTCCGCCCAATACTCGTCGCTCGCAGCAGATCGGTTGATGTTGCTTCGAGCGAAGGCGTCATTGGCTACGACAAAGTCCTTCACTTTCTGATACTCAGTGCGATTGCTATAGCCTAAGCTTGGCCCACATCTGGGGTACATCTGCTTTTTCTTATCCAAACACACACTCTCTTCTTGCAACAGGGGCCGGTTGTTTCGAGAAACTTAATCATTCTGTAACCTTTGCCTTGATATACTGTGGATGGGCGAAATCCATTTCGCACCACCCAAGAACACTGGTTTCTGGTGATTCCCCGGGCCGGTGAATACCAGCAAATTAGGTGGTGCGAGAATGGATTTTGTCCATCCACGGTATGGTCCAATTGTGTGACATCCTTTGTCAACCCTCGAAAACCAAACATGGAGGAAACTCCCCAAGTGTTGAGGTATGTGCCAAGACGATTGAAACCCCATAGGGTTTGGTTGCTGGGCTCCCTGTAAACCAACCCCAAAAGGCAAACCTCAAACAAAAACACAACCCAGCTGTACGAACCATGCACAAACACATGAGGAGCGGACGAAACACTTTACTTGGCCCTAGTACTTTTTTGAACGTTATCGTTTTTGGGGGAGACCATATCGTTTTACAGTGTTTTCGAACTTTGGCAGATCCGGCTCGAAAATCGCAACTTTGTAGTACAAGTCTAGTACGCGAGGCACACTTCCGCATCTCCAGCTCGAAAATCGCAACTTTGTAGTACAAGTCTAGTACGCGAACTACACTTCCGCATCTCCAGCTCGAAAGTCGCAACTTTGTAGTACAAGTCTAGTACGAGAAGTACACTTCCGCATCTCCAGCTCGAAAATCGCAACTTTGTAGTGCAAGTCTAGTACGCGAACTACACTTCCGCAGCTCCAGCTCGAAAATCGCAACTTTGTAGTACAAGTCTAGTACGCGAAGTACACTTCCGCATCTCCAGCTCGAAAATCGCAACTTTGCAGTACGAAGTACACTTCCGCAGCTCCAGCTCGAAAATCGCAACTTTGAGGTACAAGTCTAGTACGCGAAGTACACTTCCGCATCTCCAGCTCGAAAATCGCAACTTTGTAGTACCAGTCTAGTACGTAAAGTACACTTAGTACAAGTCTAGTACGAGAAGTACACATCCGCATCTCCAGCTCGAAAATCGCAACTTTGTACTGCAAGTCTAGTACGCGAAGTACACTTAGTACAAGTCTAGTACGAGAAGTACACATCCGCATCTCCAGCTCGAAAATCGCAACTTTGTACTGCAAGTCTAGTACGCGAAGTACACTTCCGCATCTCCACAGCTCGAAAATCGCAACTTTGTAGTACCAGTCTAGTAAGCGAAGTACACTTCCGCAGCTCCAGCTCGAACATCGCAACTTTGTAGTACAAGTCTAGTACGCGAAGTACACATCCGCATCTCCAGCTCGAAAATCGCAACTTTGTAGTACAAGTCTAGTACGCGAAGTACACTTCCGCATCTCCAGCTCGAAAATCGCAACTTTGTAGTACCAGTCTAGTACGCGAAGTGCACTTCCGCAGCTCCAGCTCGAAAATCACAACTTTGTAGTACAAGTCTAGTACGCGAAGTACACATCCGCATCTCCAGCTCGAAAGTCGCAACTTTGTAGCAAAAGTCTAGTACGCGAAGTACACTTGCGCAGCTCCAGCTCGAAAATCGCAACTTTGTAGTACACGCGAAGTACACTTTCGCATCTCCAGCTCGAAAATCGCAACTTTGTAGTACAAGGCATCTCCAGCTCGAAAGTCGCAACTTTGTAGTACAAGTCTAATACAAGAAGTACACTTCCGCAGCTCCAGCTCGAAAATCGCAACTTTGTAGTACAAGTCTAGTACGCGAAGTACACTTCCGCTGCTCCAGCTCGAAAATCGAAACTTTGTAGTACAAGTCTAGTACGCGAAGTACACTTCCGCAGCTCCAGCTCGAAAGTCGCAACTTTGTAGTACAAGTCTAATACGCGAAGTACACTTCCGCAGCTCCAGCTCGAAAATCGCAACTTTGTAGCACCAGTCTAGTACGAGAAGTACACTTCCGCACCTCCAGTTTGTAGTACCAGTCTAGTAAGCGAAGTACACTTCCGCATCTCCAGCTCGAAAATCGCAACTTTGTACTGCAAGTCTAGTACGAGAAGTACACTTCCGCATCTCCAGCTCGAAATCGCAACTTTGCAGTGCAAGTCTAGTACGCGAAGTACACTTCCGCATCTCCAGCTCGAAAATCGCAACTTTGTAGTACCAGAAGATTTTTTTTGTGCATCTGTGCCTTTTCTTCTGGCTTCTGTGCCTTTTTGGCGGGCTGCAATTTGCCTTTGAGCACCAACTTGGTATTTGAGTTTTGGGTATGCAAGATGTTTGCAGGTTTCAGGCCAAACTGTTTTGAAATTGTTTTGTGATCGGTATTTGCTCACCCAAACATTTTGCTGAAATGCATTGCGCCGCACAACCCCAGGCAGTGGGCCCCAATAATGAAGACACCCCAACTCCTTTGCCCCTTTTATGCGGTTTGCAAACATTGAGGCGTTTTTAACATATTGAGCCAGTCCCACTCAAGCCCCTACTCCATCAATTCTCCTGCAGGCCGTAGACTCAGGTACTCAGATTGGCCAAGTGCAAAGAAAACGGCGCTGAGCAAGTGCCTATGCGCTGAGCAAGTGCAAAGAGCGCTGAGTAAGTGCTCTGTCGCTTCGGTCGTTCCTGCCTGGATGCACTTGAGTCTTGGAGAAGCTGGTTGGTCACATCACAAAAAAAGTTGTCACCTTTTGAAACGCTGTGTCAGATCATTGCTGGCAGCTGTCCAGAGGTGGTAGAACCAACCCACTGTGCAACAATGACTTGTTAAACAAACCCATCAACAGGACACACACACAGCCATGACTAATGACCAGATTCGGGATGTGCTATTGGATTCTTTAAGTCGCATCCATTTACAGGGCACAGACAAAAAGGCGCTGAGTAAGTGCCTAGGCGCTGAGAAAGTGCAAGTGACCGCTGAGCAAGTGGAGAACTGGTTTCATCCCTGAAGACGCATGTGAAGCCTCATCCACTGAAGGTTGAAACCCTTTTGTTTGGGATTCAGTTGCAACACCTTATGTGTCCTTCCCTCCCCGCCCCCCAACTGTGTCTGTCCTCAGGACCTCGATGCTGCGCGACCAGCTGCCAGAACGTTCCTCGGCTGCGCTAAACCCATCAATGAGCTTGCAAACTTGATGCCAATGCAATGGGCAATGTGTGAGCAATGTGTGCACAATTCCCCTCTCGCACTTTTGGCCCGCGATGTTCACTGTGCCATGTCCTGGTCCTGTTGCACCTGGCTGTCGCTCTCTTTCCTTCTCCCTTCTCCCTTCTCTCTCTCTCTCTCTCTCTTTTTCTCTGTCTCTTTTTCTCTCTCTCTCTTTCTCTCTCTCTCTCTCTCTCTCTCTGTCTCTCTCTCTCTGTCTCTGTACCTGTGTTGACACTTGCTCAGCGTCATGCGACACTTTGTCAGCGTCGAATTTGTCAAACTTGCCATTGCGCAACAGCATGCCTAAACCCTCCCGATAAAGTGAAACTTAAACCCAGCCGCGTGCCTCTGTGTTGGCAATCCTGGCACAGTGTTAGTCGCAGAAGCTTGGTCCAGTTTAGTTGCTCAACATGCCCCTCCTGAGACTCAATTGTTTCATCTTTTTCTCTTCGACGGTTGCGAGGGCTCCTGGCGCAACATGCAATTGCCATACTGCGCGTCTGTTGGTGGACGTGCCTGACACTGCTGCGCTGCTTCTGGCTGTCGCTGGCACGCTTTTCCTAGGCTGCGCCTGCCACATTTTGTGTCAATGATGCTTGATGTAGATTGCTGCATTTCCCAATCTTAGTAGTCTGGGACACTCACTCAGCGTCCGGAACACTTACTCAGCGTCCATGACACTTGTCCAGCGTCTGGTGTTGGGCATCCCGACCACCCACATGCGCCTTCGCCTTGAACTTGCTGGACGCGGCTCGCTGTTCAGCCTGGACAAGCTTGATTCAATTCAGCACAGTGACAGGTGGACAGTCGCACCTTCTTCATCCCGGGATCCTGCTGCTGATTCTCTTTCAGTTCAGCCTCCATTTTGAGCATCGCCGCCTGCAAGGTGGAGATCTTAGCTTCCATCGCCACCTTCTCGTTCTGCTTTGACTTCAGCATCGCCTCCAGGTCTCCCAGCAAGGTCTCGACCCTCTGCTGCAGCCTTTTGCAGTGGGCCTCCCAGGTCGCCGACGCGTCCTGAAACCGCCTGAGCTCGGCTTCCTTTTGCTGAATCGCCTGGGTGCTCTGGGCCTGGGCAGTGATCAGCTCGTGGGTGTGCCGCGCAACGAGCTGGCTCATGTCCCCGTTGTACTTCTCGTCAAAGCTGTTGCGCAGCATTGCCATGGCGCGGTCGTGCTCCAAGTTGCTCAACCGCAGCTTGGCCTCCCACTTCTCCTCGCATAGCTCAAGGTCCCGCTCTGCCCGCCTCAGGTCCTGGCGAACCCGCCAAACCTCATGGCGCCTCTCTTGCGCAGAGTCGTGCCGGTGGCCATGGCGGCGTTCGCCCTTCTCGCCCTTCTCGCCCTTCTGCGCACCGCCCTTCTCCCCGCCGCTGCCACCCATATCGTTGCCGCCGCCCAGGCCCATCTCACCACTGCCTTTCTCGCCGCCGCCGCCGAACCCCTTGCTGCCGCCCTTCTCACAGCCGCCGCCCTTGTCATAGACGCCGCCCTGGCCGCCTCCCTTCTCGCAGCCACCACCGCCGCCACCCTTCTCGCCGCCGCTGCCGCCACCCTTCTCGCCACCGCCCTTCTCACAGCCGCCGCGCTTATCATAGACGCCGCCCTTCTCGCCACCGCCTTTCTCGCAGCGGCCGCCGCCCCTGTGGCCACCTCCTTTCTCGTAGGCGCCGCCCTTGCCACCAGCACAGCCGCCGCCCTTGTCGCAGCCGCCCTTCTCGTCGCCACCGCCTTTCTCACAGCCGCCGCCCTTATTCTCGCTGCCGCCCTGGTCAGCACCGCCTTTCTCGCAGCCGCCGCCCCTGTTGCCACCGCCCTTCTCGTAGGCACCACCCTTGCCGCCCTTCTCGCCGCCGCCTTTCTCACAGCCGCCGCCCTTCTCGCCGCCCTTCTCGCCACAGCCGCCGCCGCCCCTGTGGCCACCTCCGACTCCCTTCTCGTGGGCGCCACCCTTGCCCTTCTCGCCGCCGCCTTTCTCACAGCCGCCACCGCCCTTCTCACCGCCTTTCTCGCAGCCGCCGCCCCTGTTGCCACCGCCCTTCTGCTCGTAGGCGCCGCCACCACCCTTCTCGCCGCCGCCTTTCTCACAGCTGCCGCCGCCCTTCACGCCGCCCTTCTCGCCACAGTAGCCGCCGCCACTGCCCTTGTCGTAGA